GGGGGGATTTTTTGAACCTGGCCCTTAGGAAAAAATTGAAAAAAAAAAAAAACCTTTTTAAAAAAAAAAAAAAAAAAAAAAAAAAAAAGACCGAGCCCAAGCAAAACATGAGTTTACAATCTAAGGAATGAATTATTAAAGTATCTTTATGTCACCCTCATCATTACAGTGAAAAAAGTTATGTTGAGGCCCAAGTAGTAGAGCAGCATGACTAGGCAAGGGTTAGTTTTAAACAGTGAGTGATAAGGCCTGGACTAGTAACAAGAAACGGAGCCAACAGGAAGTGAGGAATATGGACTAGGATTGTTTTCAGAACAGCATCTAAAATACTTTTTGATGGAATGAAATTAATATATGGTTAAACATCAAGGACAGTCTTGAGAAAGAAATCACAAAATGGTAACCTTAATCCTAAAGACAGTCACAAAGCAAGAGGTAGCTGCATTGCTATTTTATGTTATATGGATCTACAGACTGAATTTATGAATGAGAACCTTAAGCCTTTTCTAAGAACAGCTGGCAAAGTCAGTGCCCTTTCCCTTGACTGCTGCCTTTAGTGATCTCCACCCAGTCCACATGCCTTTTCCCCCATTAAAAGGGGAGGGGGTGGTGGAGAACATATTACTTCAGCACTTAGTCTATGGTGTCAGAAGGCTCAGAGTACTAATCCTGACTCTGCCACTTTTCTGCTGTTTGACTTTGGGCAAATAGCTTAATCTCTGTTTCCCATCTATAAAATAGAGATAACAATACTTAGCTCATAATATTGTTTGGAAAATTAAATAATATATATAAAGTGCTTAACACAGTATCCAGCACATACAAAGCACTAAAAAAAATGCTGTATTATTATTAGGTTTGGGACTTGGTGTGATCCCCATTTAACACAGCAAAAATTGGGAAGGAAGAAATGCTTCAGAAGTTTCTGTAGGAAAATAATGATGAACATATTATTTTAGGAAACTGAAATCTGGCTCAGGATTTCAAAATATACTGCAGGGCTAAGAGCCTGGAGTCAGAGAGATCTCTTTGGAGGTTCTCAGAGCAGTCCAAAACATAAGGAAGTGTACACCTAAATCCTTGTGACAGCTATGGTAACAGAAAGAAAGGGAAGAATATGTCAACCACGTCCTAAGAAAAAAATCAACAAGTCTTAGAGACTGATGACTTTGAGCAATGAGGAAAGGGGAAAAGACAAAACTAATTCTTTATTTTTCTTTTTAAACTTGCATGTTTCAGAGAGTAGTAAAGCAATGAACAGAAACAGGAGTTTCTCTTAGGGAGAACCAGTTTGGCAGAAGAAAGACAGTAAAGTCTATGTCAGATACATGGAATCTGAAGCGATAGTGTTAGCTATTTATCTAGGTCAAGATGTTCAATGTGCAAAAGAAAGTCCAAGACTGGCTCTGAGATGAGAGATCAGAGGTACTGATTTGGATGTCACTCATAAAAAAGAGACATTTAAGTCAGTGGTTTTCTGTCTTTCCCTTTTGCTGTGTATGTGTGTGTGTTTAAGCAGCAGAAATGATGTCCTTTTTGAAACAAAATATTACATAAAACCTCTAACATATATGAGGGTATTTCAAAAAGTTCATGAAAAGATTTTATATCTTTTAATTCTATATTTCCATGAAATTTTGAAGTGGCCTCACATAAAAAACATGGAGATAGGGCTATTCTACTTTAAAGGTGGGTGAAGTCACCCTTTTTTTTGACAGCTAGTCGGTACAGGGATCCAAACCCTTGACCTTGGTGTTATCAGCACCACACTCTCC